CATTAAAGATCATAAACGGAGCTACTTATTTAGGTTCTATGTGCTATGGTGCACCTGTATGGGCCGATAGGGCGACCGTAGGCGCTGTCCGTCGCAAACTGTTACAAGGCCAACGACTTGCACTGATATTCTTGTGTAAGGCATATAGGACAGTTAGCACTGAGGCTTTGCCGGTGTTGGCGGGTGTGCTTCCGGTCGATCTCGAGGTGCAGAGACGTGCAGCCATGTACTATTCAAGACAACAAAACATGGAATGCGATTTTTTGGGCGCGCGGGATCGCGGTAAAATTACAAGATTGCTTCAACAGCAGCCCGATGTCTATAATGACCTCATAGACGAATGGCAACAACGCTGGGATGAATCATCCAAGGGGCGCCATCTTTACCAATTCTTTCCATCTGTTCGCGAACGGTTGTCGAGGATATGGCTTGAGGTGGATCACTGTGTCGCTCAATTTCTTACGGGTCATGGTAACTTTAAGAGCAAGCTTTATTCATTTAAATTAGTCGAGTCACCATTGTGTCAATGCTCAACACCTAACTCTCACTATGAACAGTCTGCTCATCATATCCTCTGGGAATGTAGTCTTTGGTATAATGAACGTAATATAATGCTGAATAGCTTGCAGGTGACATCTGGGGCGGTATACTATGGGGATCTTGTGTCAACTAGGGTGGATTGCCGTGCGTTTAGGCGATTTTGCCATACATATTATAGAAATCACACATAGCTCACGTAGGACCCGTAATATTTGTGGCCGTGGTGCTTCCCTGTTTAAAAGGGTGTATGCCCTTTTTACTTCATTTTGTCTCCCGCTTTGCTAAGGAGGGAAGTGGATTTACTGTATTTCCAACTCCTCCAATTTTCTTCTGATTAATTTCGTTGCGGGTTCCAAGACAGTTAAATTTCTTCCTGGGACTTCCCGAGTGTCATAACTCGGTGTGTTCGTGGGTCACTGCTGTGGATCCTGGTGTACAGGAGTTACAGTGGTGGGCGTGTGGGTGGGATAAAAAAAAAAAGATGGCCTCATCTGTCACCCCCAGGCCTGCCCTTATACGTACGTAGGTAGGACGTAGGTCGTTCTGCGACCTCCGGCGCCTGAGTCGCCTACGGTACCTGGCCCGTTCCCGGGCCTGGCGGGAGAGTCCTAAACCTCTCCCGGTCCCGCTCCGTCGTCTCCTTCGCGAGCATAACTTGCTCGCAGAAGGAGACGGCAGAGTTCCACACACTCTCGCTCCGCACGATAGCCGCAATCAGGCTATCGAGCGAGAGAGCTCCCACTCCGATGGCCGCCTCGAGGTCTCGCCTCTGCTCAACCCACGCCGGGCACTCTGCCAGCGTGTGGAGAGCCGTGTCCACGGTCTGGCCATCGCAGTGGTGGCACTCAGGCGTTGGCTCCTTGCGGATCAGACACAGGTGATTCCCGAAACATCCTTTCCCAGTGTTCACCTGCGTCAGTCGGTTTGAGAGGGTCCCGTGACGCCTCTCGAGCCAATCCTCCATAACGGGTCTTATCCGACACGCGTTACACCTAATAATAAAGCAGGAACAATCAGTGTATTTCAATTAAGAAATAAGTTTAGTACTAAATGGCAAAAGTGTGCAGGGCTTCCTTAAAAAACTAGATCAATTTTTAGATGAAAATGCTTTGCTTAGGGTAGGTGGTCGATTAGATAATTCAGACAACCTACTCTCACAAAAACATTCCATCATTCTCTCAAATACTGATTATACGGAGCTAACATGTTAGATTTTTACATGTAACACCCAAATCACTTTTAGCGAATTTAAACCAAAAAGACTGGTTAGTTAACGGTATACGACAGGTGACAAGATGGTTTGGAATAATATGTTTAAGGATTCGAGAATACGTATCACAGTAATCAGTAAAGGTTACGTTTGCATTTATGTTTGATTTGTTACGAAGGCAATTAACTTGTAATTAACCTCTGATAGTTGTACAGATGATTTCTTGGCATCCTTTAAACGGTTTGCTAGTAAACGAGTCTTGCCCAGCGACGTCTTTTGTGATAACGGTGGTTGTTCTCGTGGGGCAAGGAACCAGTTTGCTGAACTGTACAAACTTAATTAATAATTCAATGTATTGGTAGTATCCATAAGAAATCAAAATATGAACATATTCCTAGTTCGTATAGATCTTCTATGAATTTTGATACTTGACTATTTTACCTAGTGAGATAGCTGACAATACGTACATGTTTTTAGGACATTTGCGACTTACCTGTTTTTTTTTAAATTTAACAAATTTATTTCCTTTCTTATTATCAACCACCTACTTCGGCCCAGTTTGTTAACTACAGTTTTGGTAATGCAAACTATAAAACAATGTTAATTTAGTTATTAACTACACAAAAACAGTAAAAAAAAAAATATAAAGGATATAAGTTCTATAAATGATGGCAACTACAACCCCTTATAATATCTAGGTCGACTTAACCAGTTACCTTGTATATATCATCTTTCTGATGAAGACTAAACCGATTCGTGGTTCGTAAAAATATTCTACAGTTTTTACTTTACTCAAGTTTTTGCATTGCCTGCGAACTTTATTTCGACCTTAGCAATCCGCTTCTTAAGTAATTATAATGGACTTAAAAAAAGGAGAAGGTTCTTCACTCGATTGCATTTTTTATTTTATTTTTGTTTATATTGATTGGTACAAAAATCCAAGCCTTCATTGATACCTAAGTGGTATAACTAACAACCATTGTTGTGTTCAATCAATGATTATTTGTGTAGACCGGTTTCGGTGTTGCTCTGTGGCTGATAGTAATAATGTTCAGTGAAATGAAAGTGATAAATTGCTCTTTGAAACATAATTAAATTATTCGTGTCACAATCAATCCAACTTATTGAACAGTACAGATAAAGATGGGTTCCAATATCGTCCTTCGCCAATAACCCTAAAATGTATAAACTGCTTAGGAAAATTAGTTTTTTAAGTATATGAAATTGTATGCTTGTAGTTTGGTCTCATTCAAATTTAAAGGAAAAATATAAATCCTAAGGGTGAAAAAATATGAAACAAGTAATACAATTTATCATAATGTAGGTGCATTGAATTTGACGAACTTTTTTAAAAGTTAAATACATTAAAGTTAGCTCGCGTTTGTAAAATTGCTTAATGAGACTTTAACTGTCTTCAAGTTACTTAATACAAGTACATAAATTAAATTGTAAGTGAATACAGTTCAAAATGGAATTGTACTCACAGTTCAGGCTGCAATATGCATAATTATTATGTAGTTTGGTATCCAACTAAACCATCCAACTAAACTATTGTAAATAGTTTTTTTTAAATTAAGGGTTACTCAATAAAAGCATCATCTATATTCATACGTAAAGAGAATCTTTTGCACGCATTTCTAGGAAATAAATGCAGATGAAGTTGGTATACCAACTTAAAAGTGATTTGTTACAATTTAGACGTTGAACATAAAAGTAGCCCATTATATTATGTATGTTGATCAGGTATGTGCTGATCTGTCGCGAAACGGTAAGTCTACAAGTACCTATTTAAAGACAGTTCAAGTTAGGCCAATGAAAAAAAAAAACAGAAGAAAAATTGTAAAGTGGACTTTTCATTCAGGTAAAAATTACTGTTTCCGCTGAATAGAACAATACTTTTTAAATATCACTAGTTGGGATGATAACCTTTCGATAATTTATTCAGTATTCAGTTGTACAGTAACCCCAGGCCAACAAACAATATTAGTTGAAATAACTTCATTTCAAAATATGTGCACAATGCATGATAAATATTATCTCCCTCATCCCACATCTAGCTGCTAAATGTTGAATTTACCAATTTATCCTGCCTCGTTAATAAGATAAGTAAAGATAAACAGGTGTGATATTTCCATTTATCGCTATTTTCAGGCTTTCAGTCGTTATCTGAACGCCGAGCGCGAGACACGGTTATCGCGTTTCTCAGAGAAAAGCGCGTCTATTTCGTAGAAATTCGGCCTTTTCCTACGGACAGTACTAGTATTGTTTGTACTTGATTTTTGTTTTGCTTTTATAACAAGTTACTCTACAATACCGTAGTTTATTGCAAAGTATATTACAACAACGAATACCTTTGCCATAATGCTTTTTGTCACGTAGTTTCTTTACATTTTTTAAAGTGAAAATATTTTCTGGAAGTAAAATTATTTTACTTTTTTACTATTTCTTTGGCTTTTGGTTATGTAGCTACCAAATTCCGTCAAAAAGATATTCACAAATAACAATGAATGAATTTACTTTTAACAATGTCTTAATCAAATACTCTATTAGTAATGCTGATGTTTAGAAATGAACGGAACATTTTTACTAATGCCAAATTTGAAGTTGAAATTCAAAAGTTTTATGTTCTATTAGTAGCAAATCTTCAAATTCATATTATTATTTTTGATATTAAAAATTATTTTTTTATGAGTCTGTTAAATTAGTTGAATTAAATTAAATATCCAGCTCAATTCATTAAATAAACCGTAATTAATTATCAATCAGTGGTATATTGTTTTTACAAATTTCAATATAATGAAAAACTGGGGTTTTAATTACCATTTCTCATTTATTATTTAGATTTGTACCTAAAAATAAAAGGTGTTTACAGAATTAGGTTTTCGGTATCCGTTGCATTGTTTTTATGTACACATAATAATAGTATGTATAATTACGTATATAGTTAATAACTAGTTTTCATTGAATGATTCAATCAATCAATCATTGCTAAACTTGTTAACAAGAACAAAATTGGTGAGACAGAGGTCAGTCTGCTTCGGTCATGAAAGCTAACTCTGAATTGCCATAAACATTATTATACTAGTGCCATAGTTACATGTTTATGATATTTGTTGCATAAAATATAGGCAGCATAATAGTTCGTACGAAACGATAATGTTTTAAAATAATAAAGACGACAGCCAAGACAATTTAAATAAGATCTTGATAGTGCAGCTAGTGTGGAATCGGTTTAAAAGTCAAGAAGAAAATGAAAACCAAAGGTAAGTTGAACTTACTTCAGACTTATTATTAAATTATTTGTCAAAAAATACCCTGTTGCCACACATTTTATTGTAAAGGGTTTTACATACTGCCGATAAATATTTTTGATTATTACTCATAATCATAAAAATATCTTTACTTTTTAAAATACTGCTTACTGTTTTCCAATTACTTTGCTTATTTAGATAATTTTAATAAGGTCCCATTACGAATAATTTTACTATGTTGGTAAATGTATTGTGTATATTATTATGTAGGTAAGTGATAAATTACAGTATATTGTAATGCTATTTATTTTGCCCTATGAATACTTAGGTACAACAAAAGAAGATAGTTTAAATTGTGTCTACGTACGAGTTTATATATGTTGATTAAGTTTATTAAAGAAATATTTTCGTTGGTAAGCATATCAGTTAAATCCGACGAGACAACGTTACACTAAAAGTTACGGTAATGTTGGTCAATACTGAACAATAGGTTGCTTTGTTACAATTATATACTGCTTGTGGAAATCTATAACCGCCCGTTTCGGAATGATTGAGCCTTATGAGAAGAAATCGAGCAAACGGCCATTATTTCTTGTTATTTTGTTTTACTGTTTTGTTGTCCACAATTATGATACTAAGATTAAAAGTAAGTAAACTAAAATAAAATAAAAATGCAAATAAGGAAAATTCTGCCCTAAACTCACGATTTTAATTTGACGCTAATCACTCCATAACTACAACTCACTTGTCCTCACCTTCAAGCTTTGGAGGGCTATCACCGCCGATTCTCATACAACCGAAATATTTAACAATGACCCTTTCTTATAATCCTGTCTATTGACTTTACTTTAATGGGTGAACCCTTAGAACAGCACTCCTTCTGTTTCAGTGCTCAATTCACCGGAACTCACAATTAATCACAATTAAATATAAATATTCACAATAAAAAAGAGTTGATCGAATATTTTACAAAAATGATTTAATGTTTGGATGTTGCCCGATTACTAATGACTTTAATGGTTCTGGAGGTACATGGAAAATAATCAAAGTCCATTAGACTCTCTTCTGCATTTGAGGGTTTGACAATGCATATAGATCTGAGTCATTCCTCCAATATCAGCAAATATTAGTTAACATTTTTTGCAGTGCTGTTGTCCTACGTAGTTTGCTCTCTTAGTCGGCTCTTACGACACCCACGGGATGAGTAGAGGTGCTGACAGTCCATATTCTTAATCCGACACCACACCGAAACTATTTGTTACAATTTCTATTCTATTCTAATGCTTTCTAGCTAGAATTGTTTTTTATAAAAAAAAAAATAACTATTGTAATGCTTTCTAGCTATATCCGAAAATGAATTACAATAGGCATAAGAACCATGAGCAGCACAATTAAACCCTACTTAACCTACTTCGTCGTCGAAGTCGTCGTAGAAGAAAAGAATAAAAGAGGGTTTCAATTATCAATGACCTTTGGCAAATACGTATGGCAACCAACCAACATACAACGATGGAAGCACTAAAAAATAGTACCTATTATGAATTTAAAATATCATAACTTTTACCAATAATACGATTTCAATTCCGACATTATCAAATATCAAGAAAATGTTGAAGTTTGAATAAGAATAGTGAATATTTAAATATGATATTTAAGTTTAAACATATATACATAAAAACTGTACAAAAATGGGTTTAAGCAAGATACATTTTCAAAAATATCCATACTTTTGCAGTTTATGGTAGAATGTTCATAACTTATGTGTAAACAACTAACTGCAAAACTTTGTGACAAAAATGAAATAATTATATTTAAAAAATGCCATGAAAATAACAAAAGTATTTAAAAACAGAGATAAAGCTAAGTGCTAAGTGGGAGTTCGATAACTCTCCCCTATCCAACGCCTTAACCGCTAGTTTACTTGTGACTATTCGCAGTTCGCTAAATGGCCGACAATAATATACGTCAAAAAACATCGACGTATTTTTTTAAAGTAAAAGTGTCACAATTGTAAGATATACATACATGTTTCTCTATTTGTGGCTTCGTACTCCTAAACTAATTTTCAAAACTGTAACTTAAAAATAAAATTTTGAACTACACTTCGGGCCTCCATCCCATGGTAGATCAGAGTTTTTCGGAAATATATATCAATTTTTCATTGATACTCTGCTTCTATTGGACGTAGCGTGATGATGTATGCCTGTAGCCTTCCTCGATACATTTATCGAGGAAGGCTTCAATGTTAGAAAGCCCATTGGCTATCTAACATTGAAATAACTTTTCAAATCGGATCAGTAGTTCCTGAGATTAGCGCGTTTAACCAAACAAACAAAGAAACAAACAAACTCTTTAGCTTTATAATATAAGTGTACATTCATTGCAGCTATAGTGCGATAACGTAAGCTACCGATAGTAAATTTTTTCATCACATTTTTTTTTAAATCGCTTTATAGACTAGAAGCTTTGAAATTAACACATTGGTTCATAACAACTTCAAGTTTGAATTTTGTATTGATCATCTAAGAAAAAAAAAACAATCTTTTGATTGTGATTGTAATTTTGTTACAAATCAAAATTGTTGTCAGTTGTAAATTTCTATTTCGTACTGTATTACCTTTACTAAAAAAAGTTTGTTTGTAAATAATAAGAATTTCTTTTGTTTATAAATATTTCACTAAAAACTTTTAAATTAATGTAATGTTAACTGCCGAAGTTACATAAATAAATTGTTGTCGTTGGTTTGTTTTTTGGTCGTTCGACTTTAATACTGCGCGAAAGTTTATGGAGGCAAGAACTGTGTTAAATTTTTAATTTTCAAACAAGATTAAATTTGAATCTTATAGTATTTTAATCACATATTTTTATTAAAAATAATTTGTGTTTATTTTGTCATTTCTTTTTAAATTTGATTATATGGACGACCTGGCTCAAAAAAATTCAACTTTGGTTTTGCCGAAAAATCCTCAGAAGTTGTATATATACTAATCGGCGCGAGAACTCATGAAAGCGCGATGTAGGGTTAGTGGTTACTGCATAATTATCTGTCTTCCTTGGATAGATATTTTTTCACACATGGAATTAACCACAGTGGTTCAGTCTTATTACCCGACCTACATGAAGTTAAATAAAGTGTTCTTGAATCTGTATGCAAATCTGTATGCACTCTTTCTTTTAAAGTAATAATAAAGCAGATACTGGTGAAACGACTGGTAGCATCAACTTGCTCATGATTTTTTGCACCACATTGTCAATACTATAATGCGTATGTATTTATATACTGTTATACTGTATTTATGTATTGTAATGAAATATACACCGAAATTGTTCACAAATGCAATGGCGGACATGTACAAGACGCTGCACTGAAAAGGGCGTGGCATCAATATCAATGACGAATAGGTACATCTCTCACTTGCGATTTGCAGTCGACATCGTCATCATGGCAGGGACGCTGCAGGACCTACAACATATGCTGCGTGACCTAGCTGACTCGACTGTACGCATCGGCCCACCGATGAACTTGGATAAAACCAAGGTCATGTTCAACGAACATGTACTACCGGAAACGATTGCGGTACACGGTGCCGTTCTCGAAGTTGTTCAAAATTATGTGTACCTCAGGCAGACATTACAGTTAGGTAGAAACAACTTCGAGGACGAGGTGAACAGAAGAATTCAGTTGGGTTGGGCAGCGTTTCGGCAGTTACGTCGAGTCTTCTTATCGTCGATCCCGCAGTGCCTTAAGACGAAAGTCTTCAATGAGGGCGTCCTATCCGTCATGACATACAGAGCCGAAACGTGGGGGTTCCGTATGTACGACTGGACCACAAAGTTCAAAGTCGCTCAACGTGCTATGGAAAGGGCTATTCTCGGTGTTTCTCTAAGGGATCGCATCAGGAATGAGATGATCCGAAAGAGAACCAAGGTCACCGACATAGCCTATCGGACCAGCAAGCTGAAGTGACAACCGTTGGGGAAAACGAGTTCTTGAGTGGAGACCGTGTCTCGGCAAACGTAGTGTAGGACGCCCACAGGCCAGGTGGCTGGCAGGAGCTGGATGCCAGAAGCCCAAAAACGATCTAAGTGGCGTGCAATGGAAGAGGCCTATGTCCAGCAGTGTAATGTATGTACTTATGTGTAATATGTATTGGTGTAGTATATGATTGGTTTGTATACAGTATAGTAGTATAAAATTAATTGTAACCAAAATGTACCTTCTTCCTGTTTTCTCTGTATCACCCAATGGTAGAGAATGCTTTTGGCATTAAGTCCACCAATGCACCTAATGTGGATAACGTGTAAAATAAATGGATAAGATAAAATGTATGTCTATTTCTCTAGTATTGATTTAATTACAGTACAGATACAGTACGATAACAAAAGCTACCGATATTGATCGGTAGCTTTTGTTATCGTACTGAAGCTGTACTGGACTACTGCAGCAATCACTGTAAAAAGCGCATTTTTTTTTCTGTGTGGAAATTCCCCTACCGGTGACTATATCGGACCGACTTAAAACCGCACGCCGTCTCGGGTACCAGTAGTCGGGCAACCAGCTGTACCTTTAGAAAGGAAATCCCTGATACTTCGAGCCATCTACGGCGGGTAGATGACCCCCTTCTGTGTGTGAACCCCATGTTCCCTTGGTGCTCCCAAAATGGCACGCTCCACAGTGCGCCTCAGTATCAGTGTTCTTTTAATTGTATACTTTATATGTTAAACTCTAGAGTTGCCATTTATATAATTATTTAAACAATGAACCGTTACCATTTTATATATTTTATTTTTTACATATTTTTTTAATATCAGGTGCATATGACAAATATATTCTTGCATTATTTAAAGTATTCTATCCGTGTGAAACTGCTAGTAAACATAATGTTTAATTCAGGAAAACCAGCAGCACTAAAAATGCTTTTAAGTTCTATGTTTATAATGTCTAATATTGATGTACCTGTTGTATATTTACCGTGCATGGGAATGTCGACGACACTTACTGTAGACATAAA